CAGGTTGTTTTGCAGGAGTCTAGTCAGTTCTGGAGTAGACAGGTTGAAAAGCAGAATGTGTGAACTCTCATTGCTCGTGGCAAAGAATTTCACCGTCGTGTTACTTGACAGTGGCGCTAGGCTGGAGCTCCTGCCAGCCTGGCCAGTGGTCCTTGGAACCTCCCTGTTTTCATCTAAACAGAGGAAGGGACAGCAAATGGAAAAGCCGAGGCTTTGAAAAGAAAGTTTTGCCCAAATTTGTCCCTCGCTGCTGCCACCAGCAGGAGACTTTCTGATCTTAAAGGAAAGAAGAGTTGCCTAAAAGGCGTCTCTGGAAATGTGTAATTGGCTGCTCTGCTCTGACCGCAAAAGACTTCTAAGCACTTTCAGTCAGCATTCCAAGTGGACAACACAAAGAAAAAATCCTACCATCCAAATCCTGAAGGCTTGGATTGACTTAAGAAATAACTTGAATCCTGAAGCCTAGCTTGATAGGGTGACTTGAGAACTTGCTGCGACTCACATTGGAATGCGGGCTGTAGATCCCAGCCTGCAAAAACCTGCGTAGCACCCCTTTCTCTGAGGGTTTGTACGGGAGAGGAAAAATTTGACAAACTGTCTTGGAACAAAAGAATCCAGGAGAGGCAAATGCTATTTCTGTCTTCGTTACTAACAAGCTTTGTCAGTGTCTCTTGGATTGAACATGAGTCACAGTTCTTGGCGTACTCCCATCGTACCAATCCAGTTGGGAGCTATGACTTCAGCCCTGGGGGAGCTAGGTGGTGGGATCGAGCTCTGCTCGTGGGGAGGGCCAAGCCTGGACAGGAGCTGCAGCAGTAACTTGTGCCAGTTGGAATCTTCCTCCGAGTGACCATCATCTCAGCAGAGCCACCCATGAAGATGTGCAGCCATTCCAGAGCAACACCAATGTACTTCATTGCTCTTGTCTCTCTTGTCCCGCAGAATGCGTTCTCATCGCTTCTGAAGCCGATTTCAGAGCAAATCCAGACGGTGCAGAATTTCAGGGAGAAGAACCGTGGTAGCAAACTGTTCAATCACTTATCAGCAGTCAGCGAGAGCATCCCTGCCCTGGGCTGGGTGGCCATGGTAAGAACTCCAGTGGGAAGTGGTTTCCTTGGGCTGGTGGGAAAAATCTGGCTGCTCCCTGGTCAGCTCTTCCATGTCAATGTGTTCTTTCTTCTCTAGGCTCCAAAGCCTGGTCCTTATGTGAAGGAAATGACTGATGCTGCCATGTTTTATACCAACCGGATCCTCAAGGAGTACAAGGATGTGTAAGTTCACCTTCTCTCTTAAGTATGCCACTGAGTACAGGTAACAGGGTGTGTAGGGGCTACTCCAGTATCTAACCAGCTGCCTCAGTCTTTAATTCATTCTTCTTTTTAAAGGCAGGATATATTTATAAAGCCTCACCTAGCTGTTCTTTCCTGATCCTTAGGGACAAGATTCCTTGCACTCCTGCTGCAGCTGGAATCTCTGATAGCAAGTGCATTGCTGCTCACTCCTAGAGCAGCAGGTTGTGTCTTGGGAATGGGTCTTGTTGGAAGTAACAGACTCTCCCCAGTTCAAATGGGTCAGTCGGGGCACAGAGCAGGGCTGGGGCCGCCTGCCTGCAGCTGCCAGGTTAATCCTGAAGCTGGAACGCAGTGCTGGGGGTGTGAGGCTGCTGTGCTGCTCCAGGCTGGGTCTTGCCTGTCAGCCGAGAGGTGGAGAGCTGTAAAGAACTGTAGTCCTTGGGTTTTAATGGCAAATGCACCTCATGATCTCCTTGTGTCCACAGAGATAAAAAGCAGGTGGACTGGGTGAAAGCTTACCTGAATATCTGGACAGAGCTGCAGGCCTATATCAAAGAGTATCACACCACAGGGCTGACCTGGAGCAAAACAGTAAGTGCTGGCTGCATCTGCAGGAGCTTCTTAGACGAGTCTTGCACGATTATTGCAGCAGTTATGGAGCTTGTGCAATTGCCTTTCCTCTTGCTGGCCTCTTACAGGGTCCTGTAGCAACAGAAGGGACTAAATCACCATCCGCTCCCCCAGCGGGGGCTGCGCCTCCCCCCCCAGGCCCTCCCCCCCCACCTGCTCCTGCCCCCATGAGCTGCAGCACAGACGACTCTGCCTCCCGCTCCGCGCTCTTCGCCCAGATCAACCGGGGAGAAGGCATCACCTCTGGTAGGTGGAAGTCGCTCGGGGCAGGAGGGCAGCCACCAACGACGGTACTGCTGTGCTGCGAATCCTTGTTTTGCTGTTGTGGCTCAACACGCCTGCTTAGGAAGTAGGTTTGCAGTAACAAAAGACCATCTGGTCTGAGGATGAGGCTGTGGGAGCCAGAAGCAGCCCTGAGGCAGTTCCCAGGGACAAAGGGAGTACATCTGAGAGAGAATTCTCAGTCTCATCTGTCAGGTGTAGCAAGCGATCAATCTAGCTGGAATGGGGAGAGGGAGCCCTTTGGCTGCTTGCGCATCTCCAGTACAAGAGGTGCCATTTTTCACCTATTCATATTTGCACAGAACTTATCTCTTTTGCGTGTTACCTGGTTCACGTATCAGGACAGACATCAAACAAAGGTGGGGTGCTTGGCTTGGGGCTTTTTCCAGCTGCAGAGTGAAAAGAGCTGGCGCCTTCTGGTCCTACAGTACATCTGGTGTTCTCATCAATACTGCATCAGTGTTTCTTGCTTGCTCTTTCACTTGTTGTCACTCTTGGGCTCAGCTTAGACCCAGCCTTAATTTATTTGCATTTTGAAAAATGTTACCCTGCTGGTGGCTGTAATTACTGATGTCTGGTGTTTGTGAAACGGCATTCTCAGAGGAAAGCTGCATCTCAGGTTTGATTCCTTTTGCAGGCTTAAGGCATGTGTCAGATGACATGAAGACCCACAAGAATCCAGCACTGAAGAACCAAGGGGGTCCTGTGAGAAGTGGACCCAAACCTTTCACTGCTCCCAAACCAGCCTGTAATGCTAATCCCTCACAAAAAAGCTCTCCGAAGGCCCCCGCGTTGCTAGAATTAGAGGGCAAAAAGTGGAGAGTGGTGAGTGCCTGGTGTTGGCATGGGTGGGTTGGAGGGATGGGAGCTCTGTAACAGGGGAGGGGAGCGTCTCCTGAAGACCTTTCTTGTAAGAAGCACCAGCCTGCAGGTGCTGCAGTTCGCTTTTAAAGGAGCTGCCCTGCTGTTCTCATGGATTAATTGGTCTGCGTTCCAAAAATCAAGTGCGTTTTTCCTTTTCCTGTCTTTTCAGGAAAACCAGGAGAATGCCACTAACCTGGTAATCAGTGACACAGAGTTGAAGCAGGTAGCATATGTTTTCAAGTGCACAAATAGTACACTCCAAATCAAAGGCAAGATCAACTCTATCACCCTCGGTAAGTGGAGAAACCCCAAAAACTGCTTCTGGGTGCTGGGGTGTATGTGTGCAGAAGGCTGAATCTCCAAAACCTTTCTGTGACCTGCTCTGTCTTTGCAGATAACTGTAAGAAGCTGGGTCTGGTGTTCGATGACGTGGTGGGCATCGTAGAGATCATAAACAGCAGGGACGTTAAAGTTCAGGTGAGTGCCTACAACCTGTTCTCTGCCTGGAGTGTGACTGCTGCACTGTACAACAGGGCGTCTGTAGCATCTGCTTCTTGGAGTAGTTTTATTTCTGGAACAGGAATGTGCATCTGTGGAGAGCGTTTATGAAACACCATCTGTCCTGCTGCTCTGCAGCTCTCCTTGCCCAGCAGCTGGGAAAGGACTGAAATTTGCCTCGCTGAGCTGCCTCAGGGCTTTAGGTAAAAGATTAGTCTCCGAGATGGGCGGCAGTAGAATCTACTCTTGATTCCAGTTTTGGTATCCGATTTGGGATGGTCAGCTTGGCCAGTGTTTGCTGTAGTTTTAGTCTAAAGAGACCAAACCAAGAAATAACTTCAGATTTTTGCCAAAGGTGGGAGTATTTCAATCCAGCTAGTCTGGGGTGGTGAGGGGTTGGAGTCAAACCTCTTGCCTTGAAGGCAAGTGTGAAAGAAAAATGTCCTGGTTGCCTGGTTCAAGCTCCTTTAACTGTTGCTCTGACCACTCTGCTAGGTAATGGGTAAAGTGCCAACAATTTCCATCAACAAGACAGACGGTTGCCACGTGTATCTGAGCAAGAACTCCCTAGACTGTGAAATCGTCAGTGCCAAGTCATCAGAGATGAACGTCCTTATTCCCACAGAGGGTGGTGACTTTGTAAGTGTTAATTTTAAAATCCCTGGGGAGGTCTGCTTGGGGTTGGGGTAACACGGGGCAGAATTAGTATTTTTGAGCCCTGCGGGGAATGTCAAGTTACAGTGAGGTCTGGAGGGACAGTTCTAGACTCTGGAGGTTGCAAATGATAATCAGATGTTAAAAACAGCAACTCATGTCGTTTGTCTTTATAGTGAGATGGTTTTTGGAGCTGCTGTTTGCTCGGGATCTCTGGGGGGCAGAACAGGCAGTGTTTGTGGTACAGGAAGGGACACAGCATGTATCTAAGGAAAGAAATGCCTGAAGCAGTGGGAGTAATTGCTGGTCTCAGTCATAAACTGACTTTTTGACAATGGATTTCTATTTTTACCCTCCAGACTGAATTCCCTGTCCCAGAACAGTTCAAGACAGTGTGGAACGGTCAGAAGTTGGTTACCACTGTGACAGAAATCGCTGGCTAAGCAGAAAAGCTCCAAGGCTCACACCCTCCCCTGGCCCTGCTGTGGGACAAATCTGCTTTCAGATGATTCTCTTAGATTTCTTGTACCTTTCTGCTCTCAAACTGCTTCTCTTCTACCCGAGAGACACAGCTACCTGCCGTCACTGAAATACCTCTGCCTGGGGTGTGGTGTAGGTGGCGGGTCAGTGATTGTCCACATCTATTAGCAGGAAGGTGTATTGTTTGGGTTTTTTTCTCCTCATGTCTGATCTACCTGCACCAATTGATCAAGTCAGATTTTCGGTGAACTTCACAGCCAGTACTGGCAGTTGGCTTTCAGAGTGTTGTTCGGGTTTTTCTTTTGTATTGCCTTTTAAGCAAACTGTTCATGTGAGAGGAATGTTGTCCCCTTTTTAAAAAATAATGGTCTGTCGGGGTCCAGAGTACCCAGTTGCTATGGCAGATGTCTCAAAGAAGGTCCTGGAAGCTGCTAATTCCAGCTCTATGGGGCTGGTGGCATTACAGGACCTGGGAATGGCTTTGTTGGACCAAAGGCTGAGGTCCTGGGCCATAGCATTCCACCCTCATCTCTCTTTCATCATTCCTGCTAGCTCAGTGTATTTCTGATTGTGCCATGACAGGAGGCTTTATATTAACCAGTGCCACAGGAAGACTGCAGTGGAGTTAACAGTGGTTACCCCCCCCTCCCCAGCAGTCTGGCTGGTAGCTTGGAGCTGAGCACCTCTTATTCCGTGAGCCCTCCACCCTCAAAAGGGAATTTTTGCCCCAGGGCTTCCTTCTCAGAGCAGCTGAACTCAGGTTCAGTCTTCCAGGATGGTTCTTCTGAACCTGTCCCCTTCTGCAGAGGAAGGGTCTCCTTCATTCCAGGGTCAGTAGTGCAGTATTGTCAAATACCCGAGTTGGATCAGGTGGGTTCATCACTCTCTTCCTCACCTGCCATCAGTCCCCATAAAGTGAATCCTCTCAGCCTGCCCCCTGCCCCTGTTGCTTGGCTCTTTCCTTTGGTGGAAGCTCGTAGCCTCTGTTCCAGGGCCCTGGAGCAGAGTGATGGATCTAAGTCACACAGTACTGTACTGACCCATAAAGGGAGCTGCACGTGCTTTGACCTTCATTTTTCCAACGCCTCGGGTGGCATAAGCATATCTTAAAAGCATTTCCTCTGTAAAGTGTCAATGTTCTTTTACTCTAGGACAAAACTTACAAAAAAAAAAATATGCAATTTTTTTATTTTGAGACTGTCCTGTGACTTGTACTCGTCTTCTCCTGAGGCTTGTGAAAAAACCTTTCTTATGTACTTAAGATTATACAGAAGATAGAATAAAGTTAATGCCAACTTGCTCATTACAGTGGCTCTTGTTTGCTCTTTGGGGGCTCACAGGACCTCAGGGAGGATGCTCCTTGCTGCCTGACCCTGCCTTGACTGCTTTGCATACTGTCCCCCTGGGGAAGTGTGGACTTTTCCTCAACTCCCCTCAAACCAAACTGGCAGTAGTTATCAAATCTCACCTCTCTTTTTAGCTGGTTAGATGTAAGGGTCTTTATTGATTTCAGTTGCTGTACAAAAGTGCACAAAACAAGCCATTAGTTGAAAACTGTTCAAGCTGTTAATACCTGCTTAATCCAAAACCCTCCTTTTTCCCCCAAAACCCCCTAAATTTGGCCCTTTCCCCATTTGAAGGAGAGGCTGCGCTGTTTTCCCTCTGCATACAGCCCAATAAATCTACTTGCTGCTCCCCCTAAGAGGTACAGCCTCCTTACACTAGTGCTCTCGGTTAATACTGCTGTTGTGACCTGTGAGGAACAGGCGATGGGGAAAACGCCCCTCTCGTGCAGATAATCATTTTGCCAGTGCCAAGTGAGCTGCAGCTCTGAGAACTGAAGGAAGATTTACCGGGGCCTGTGCAGGATGGAGTGCTTCAGGGTTAGCGCAAGACCCAGTCCACCCACACTGCAGCATAATCACATCCAGACGAATCCCGGGCTCTTACTGCAGCGTGGAAGTGCTGAGCTACACCCCTTCTTCTTCCCCTTCCCCAGCTCCCCGCAGGTTTGCACGCAGAAAGTGCTGTTGCACAGTAGCAGCTGTATTAACTACAGTGGTAGACCCTCCCCAGTGCACTCTCTCCCAAGGTGCCTCCCCTTGGCTTCACTGGAGGAAGGGGAGGATAGTGGTGTAAAACCACTCTTCTGAGAAGTGCAGGTGGTCCCCTTTCACCCCCAGGAACACCAGTTTTCCTGCTTTGTCCATCTCCTGCAGCCCCAAGCGATCCTGCAGAGAGAAGGATGACCGTAACTTCCCGGGGTCCTGCCGTGGAGGAAAGCCCCGATGGTCGGAGAGTGCTGGCAGGCTGGAGGGGTTCACCTCTGCTCTTCAAAGCTTCTCCTCAAAGGGGGGGGCAAAGCTATTTGGGATGCTTTATATAGAAAGCTTTGAAAAGGAGCAGAGTTCATTGAACACATGCTGAAGGAGACAACCGCTAATTGCCACTGGCCTGGAGAGAAACACCTTCCCAAACAGCTACTGGTAAGAGGAGGCAATGCCCCAGGAATGGCAGAGATGGTGAGGAGGGCAGAGGTGTGGGGTTTGGAGCTCCTCAAGGCCCCAGAGACATCACAGAGCAGAAACAGCAGAGACCCCTCAGCCCCCCACAGAACGTACCTCTATGTACAGTGAGGTCTCCTTCAGCGGGATGGTCTCCTTGGCTTGGCCGCTTTTGTAAAACCCAAACCACTGTTGGAATAAAAACAAGGGAATGGTTTCTGAAGGGCTGCCAGGGGATAAACAGGCTTTCACCAGCTTGTGCTGGAGACAACGCACTATCAAGCCTGTGTTTGCGTTCCGCCTGCTCCTCGCCAACCTCAAGTTCTGCCACCAAAGGACAAACCAGAAACAAGCACCAAAAGCAGCACCCGCCCTGCCTGCCTCACCTCGGAGATCGGAGGATCAACCATGGTATCATTGAGAAATTTCACCATCACAAACTTTTTCAGAGCCATCAGGTTTTTCTTGTACGTCTCATTGATGCCCTGGATGAGAGCAGCAGAGAACAGACCCAAGTCACAGGAGAGTCCACTGAGGGAAAGCACCTGCAGAGAAAACCCTGGACGGCAGCAGCCACGGAGGCAGGAACGTGTGTTTTTGCCAGCAGCCTCCCTTGGCTGTGCTCGTGGCATCCAGGCTGTAAAGAGGGGGTGACCTCCCCCACTGTCCCAGGGGAGAGAGGGGATGCACCCACTTGAAAGGTGACAGGTGAACTGAGCACGTGGCATATCTACACCAACGGCTCCGGAAGAGCGTGGTGACGCAAGAACTGCTCTGCCATGGACAAGTCTCACTCATCAATCTACCAGCAAAACCACTTTGTATGCTCCTGGCACGCAGGGCAAAAAATGTTCCCCTCTGACCTCCAGGTAAACTCCTGCCAGGGAGAGCTAACACAAATAAACTCAGCGCTAAGGCTTCTGCTCTCCTGTTACGTCATTAGCCAGGTCCTTACCCTCTCCTGATTTATGTCAGCCAAAAAGATGCTGTTTTTCCTGTAGTCCTCCTCCTTCAGAGGGTCGTGCCAATACTCTGCTTGTACCAAGCTGGAGAACAGAGAAACCAAAGATCAGAGCGGAAGCCTGGCGCTGCTCACGTGGGCCCGGCTGCCGTCACTGCCGCCCGGTGACTGTACTCACTGCTCCTGAACAGCTTGTGTGTAGGCGCCCAGATCCAGCGTCTTCCGGATCCAGTCACAGATATGGGAGCTCTCGCCAGGACAGCGTGGCAACCCGTACACCCCTGCAGCGTGGAGACGTGGAACAGCTCCCTGAGCCAAACTGAAATCCCTTAATCCCTCTGGCTGGTAAAGATCCAACCTCTTACAGAGCAGTGGCAAGAATTACCCAGGGAATCAGGCAGCCTTTAATCCTGCAATCTCATTAGACAGCCCTCCTGGCCCTGGGCTCTAGTACACACAAAGATAATGGATGATGTTCTCGAGCTGAGGGTATTGCTCTGGAGAATGGGGGCATGCAGACAAACCATCCGGCTCGCCTGGTGCGTTCCCAGGAGGACTCAGGATGGTTCCCTAAAACCCTTCCCACTACGCTATAAAGAAATAGACTCAAGCCATGGAACTTCTCAGGGGAGAATATTTGAAATTCATTGCCAGCCGCTCTTAATTGTACACCTCTTAAATTCCATTTCATACTGCCTCTTTATTAATCTACTGCAAAAATCAGTTCCCTTTCCTTAGGGCTTTAAGCTTCCAAACGCCAATTGCAAAATATCCTTGTGACCCAAAAGGTTTAGTTTCACAGAGGCTTTGCTCTGTAATTAGAAATTTCTTCTCACAGAACAACTAATCCCAAATGCTTCCAAAGTATATAGGAATTCCACCCAGGCAATAAGTTGTCTACTTACAGAGGCCCCTTCTCACTGCCAGTTAAGCAAGACCAAGACAGACAATAATGTAGTTGGCTAACAACTGGGCCAAAGCAGATCACCAGATTCAGACAGGAACAAAGGAGCAGCTTAATTCAGAAGAAAATGGTCAGATTTTAGGAAGAAGCCAAAAAAAAAAAAAATCATTCCTCCTGCCAACAAGAGCCCCCCACCCTTCAAGGCAGTTAGGAGTGTGATAGTTTCAGAAGACACTACCTTGGTGCTGTCCCCCAACGGAGATCAAATTGAGCATGGGAGGAGAAGGACACCTCTGGGCCACTGCCCTCCTGTGAGGAAAGAGGGAGGAGCTGAGCTGGCACTGGCCTGCCCAGGCCACCAGCGCTGGTTCACACAGAGCTGCACTCTGGTAAGGTTTGCAAAGAGAATTAACCCCTCCTGGTAAGAGGGCTACAGGGAAACACGTTCTTGCCTCCTTTGGCGCACTCCTAACTTTATGAAGGGCTTTGTCAGTTTACATCTGATTAGTACTTCAAAAGAGTTTTAAATCAGAAGCTAAAGCCCAACGGAAATGGATGGAAATGGAAGAGAAGTGTAAACTTACAGGAACTGGCCTCCTTGGGAGAAGCCCATTGCGTTGTAGCCTCCTTTCAGGCGAGGGTCCTTTGCGAGCTGGCTGCACACTTCTCTCACTTGATCATTCACATTCATAAAGAAGCTGTTCTCCATATCCTGATGGATTAGCCAAATTTCAAAGTATAATTCGTCCCTTTATGATGTTTTACGCTATTTTAATCTCTGCAAATAGATCGCTAACAGTTCTGCTATTGGAAGAGGACCTTAACTTTCACAATGACAGAAGGGAAATTCAAGGTTTGAGACTTCCCTTTTACCACATCTTTGTTCCTACTCTGCCTGGCAAAACTGTCTCATATGAAACAGTGATATTTCCCCAAACTTCCTGACAGTGAGTCCCTTCAGATTTTGTGTGTGTGTGTATATATATAAAGTAATATATAAATATTATATATATACAATTAAAAAATTAAAAATCAAACTTCTCCCATCTTCTCCAGATCCCACAAAATAACACACATTGCACATTATCTTGAGACACTGCTTAAAGAAATTCTGTAGGGCTACATAAAACTGTAAAAAAACGTGAAGGCGCAGAAGAATGTATCTTTATTATACTGAAGATGTATAGTGAATAAGGCTAAATCGGTGGATTTTCATATTAATCCAGTTTAGATTAGAGATTTGGGTTTCCCCAGTTCTTTTCTGCAGGTATTATCTAGACTTTATTGGTTTCTACCTGTCAAAGCTGTTTACTTCACAAAGAAGAAAAAAGCAAGCAGGGAAAGCACAACACGAATCCTCGCGGAATCGTGTTAATAACAGACTGCAGTAACTATCGCCCACTGGCCACCGCCCTGCCAGGCAGAAATGTGAGTGCCAGCCGAGTCGGTTACCTGTATCAGATTGCTTCCAATCTTGAGAGACAGGACATAAATCCCTGGTATTTTATTCTCCACTATTTTCTTAATGTAGCCCATGCTCTGTGGATTGCAGCAACTGTCTCCTGTGAGGGAACACCGCGAAGCACCGTCACGCCACCGCCCAGGCCTTCACCTCGCCTCCACGATCACACCGGGACACACCCCCCCCACACACCCCCCCGCTGCAACGGGGCCAGGAGCTGCCAACGCACCCTGGGGAGGAGGGTCAGCACCTCCCGGTCTCCGCAGAAACCCGCAGCCCAGAGGAGGGGGACACCGGAGCGGGGCCGGGGGCGGCCTGCGAGCTCCCCTCAAGCCTGCTCGGGTCCCAGCCTG